CCTGACATCAACAGCAAGCAGAGACAGCAGCGCTAGGTCACTCCCCATGGGCTGCTACTCCGTATGAACCAGTCAGCAAATGACATGACACTGTTGTAAGGAACAAGCTGAGCTCTTGACCGACACTGCTCAGTCTACAATCGGCTGTTGCTCTCACCAGCCACCAAGGAAAGGGGAGGGGACAGTTGGGACACTCACTAAGTGAGTCCTCAGGAGAGACTGTGTTGGCCAGAAAATAATCACAACTCTGAAATAGTTTATGCAAAGCCAAGACACAGATGCTAAATCCTCTAATGACACAAACTCGATTCAGTCAGTGACATGGGTCCTTGAGAATATGGCTCTCCTGTGAAGAGATTATGCAAGCTCCTATAATCGCAAAAGAACTTGGTGGAATCATAAGTAGGGAGACAAGATCATGAGGAAATCTCCCATTAGATTCAGGTTCTATCTTCAGCAAGGCAGAAACTCCCTTCCAAGATCCATTGCCAACTCATCCCAGCATAAGGCTGATAGGGGCCAGAGGACCAGCAGCCTGGCCTACAGCTTAAAACCCTACTCAGGAACTACAAAAAAAAAAAAAAAATACCAGACAGAGGATGACAACAAAGAGCTCCAGAGAGAGACCAAAGGCAGCTCAATACAAGCTTGGCTTGTAAAGCTACAATATTCCATGTCTCCACGAGGTCAGCAAACTCAAACAACCTGCAAATTCCTTTGGATGTGGTTTGAAACGACATCTCCTGTCACTCAAATGGCTTCAAATGTACAATGTAGCCAAGACTCACCTTAAACTCCTGACCCTCCTGCCTCCACCTTCAAGTGCTGGATTATAGGTGTAAGACCCTGCACCTGGCAATCTAAAAGCTCTTTAAACACAAGCTTGCCTCTTTAGGGATCCACAATTCACACCTGTCCTGAGCTTCAGGTGTGAGATTCCACTTTGCACCTTTAGCCTGGACACGATTTCTCAGCAATGACAGATGAGCAAGGGCATCCTTTGTCACCTGCCAAGGTCATGTGGCCACTCTGCAGTCTGTCTACATCTCTGCCAGTGTGGCTCCCTTCCCATGCCCAGGTGCCCACTTTTGGTAAAGGGAGATAAGGACACTCAGTAATTTCAGATGAGCAAAAAGGACCTGTCATCCACCCTTCCATCGCAGGGCAAGAATATGGAATAAGAACACTGATGGAAAGAAAATGGGGTGGGAGTGAGTCTTTGCAGGAAAAATCATTTGGGGCTGACCAAGCTTTTTAATCATTCAAGTGATTTACAACTTGAAAATCAAAAATGACTAAAGTAAACACTGAAAGAGGAATGTGAGCAGGAACAAATGAACCCTGGTTGTCTAATGAGCAGCATGACCACAAATAAAAGAGAAGTGACTGTGTTGTGTGTTTTTGCTCTTTGACTTTTGGGGGTGGCCACCACCCAGCTCCCAAGTGAATCACACACTGAGGTTTATAATCTTTGTTATGAGCGCATGGCCTTAACTTCGATTGTTTACAGCTAGCTTTTCTTATCTTAAATTATCCCATCTACCTTTTGCCTCTTGGCTTTTCCTGCTCTCTTCTATAACTCTTACTTTTTTTTCTATTTATCCTCTCTGCCTGCCAGCCCCGCCTACCCTTGTTCCTTCCCACTATTGGCCGCTCAGCTCTTTATTAGGCCATCAGGTGTTTTAGACAGGCAAAGAATCACGGCTTCACAGAGTTAAACAAATGCAGCATATAAACAAAAGTCACACACCTTCATATAACGTTCCCCAGCGGTGTGAAATAACATTTAGATGTAAGACTGACTGCTTGACTTCAATGGGAATATTCTGAGGTTAGAAAGAGACACCGTTTGTGGACAGCGGTGTCACTGTGGACGTTCTATTAGAGGAGGAACTTCCGAAGTCGGGGGAAGTTTCTGATTGGCTTCCAAGTGCATGCAGCAGGCTACCAATCAAACACCGCACAGACCCGCAGGTTAGAAAAAGCTTCGTGTGCTTTGCGGCACGGGGAGAGCGCAGCGCGCCTTGCAGGGACTCTGAGCCTGAGAGTAAAGCAGGGGCCGCTGAATTTCGTGCCGCTTCCATCTGACACTGGGAGGGTGAGTCACCGATCCCATTCTCCCACAGCCCGCAGCCCAATGCTCCAGCACAGCCGTGCACAGCATTAGAGACTGGGCTGACTGAGGGCAGCTCTTGCTGAAATGGGCAGGAAGCACGCTCTTCGTTTTGGAATGTTGGCAGTGTAGACCTATCTTTCGTTATTTGGAGGCGGAGTGATTTATTTTACCGCCATCTTATTCTCCAGGCAGATGCGATGCATTCTTTGTCTGCTGCGAGCACCTCTGGCTGCGCCCCGAGGGCATCATATCTCTATTCTGCACACAGACCTCTCCCATTGAAACTTGTCACCGAATCTAAAATTAGAGCTTTGCCTGCTAAATTTAAATTGTGCAGGGTCTGCCCCTGTGTTTTACTACTGATTCCTTAGCTACGCATCTGTGTTTTCGTGGCTCCGAGATGGAGTGAGCCATACAGTGCTTATCCTTGTGGTTTTATCGGGAAATAAAGTGGATACACAAAGATGAACTGTTTCTGTGCGTGCCTCTGAAACACAAAGATGGACTGTTTCTGTGCGTGCCTCTGAAACACTTGGGAAACCCACTAGGGACTCAGAGACGTTCTCAGTAAAGAAACTGTTAAGATTAAATAATTTTTAGAAAAAACGAGGCTGGAGAGTTGACTCAGTCGGTAAAGTGCATCTTGAACCAGCTTGAGGACTGAACCCAGTCCCCAGAAGCTACATAAAAATAAGATTAAGAGTCAGGCATGGTAGCTGGGCGGTGGTGGTGCATGCCTTTAATCCCAGCACTCGGGAGGCAGAGGCAGGCGGATCTCTGTGAGTTCGAGGCCAGTCTGGTCTACAAGAGCTAGTGTTCCAGGAGAGCCTCCAAAGCCACAGAGAAACCCTGTCTCGAAAAACCAAAAAAAATTTATTACATTTTATTTATTGTCAGGCATGGCAGTGCATGCCTGTAATCCCAACGTGGGGGAAGTAGAGACAGGAGGATTGCTGGCCAGCCAGTTTAGCCAAACTGGTAAACTCCAGGCTCCGTGAGAAACCCTGCCTCAAAAAACAAGGTGGAAATACGGTGCTTACGCCATTTCAGCCTTTCCCTCTCCTGAGCATGCAGCTCCCACCCCCTCTCAGATCCTTCCCTCTTTAATTATTACTGTTTACAAGCATATGTGCTTGTACACACTGGACCTCTCCCGCTGAGATTGTATGCCTGGTGGGAGAGTCTATCCTGCCTCTGTTGAGTGGAAGTTTGGTTCTGTTTCTGTTGTTTTCCCGTCTTCATTGATTTCAGATCACTGCTAGGGCAGTGCTGCAGATCCTCTGCTGATTTTTTATTGCAGAGATGGGGATAATCCAAATTCAGTAACCCAGAAAGCCCATGAATGTAACTGGATCTGTGTGGGCAGGTGTGAAAGTTGCACTATCAGTTCTAAGCCTCCCTAGGCTGTAAGGATGGCACACTTTTGAATGACTGTTTTATTGGGTAAATAAACTAAGGTGTGCTATATAATGTAACAGAATTGTTACCATAAAATGTATTCAGCACAAAGTTATTCTGTAGGGAAAAAATGTACTTTCCTCCATCATTCTCTACACCAGCATCTATTGTTCCACGTGGATTTAAGTTATCACCCAGATTCCTTTTGTTTTCCTGGAGGACTCCTTTCATGAGCCCATGTCGTGCAAAACGGCTAGCAACAATACTTCTCCATTTCTGTCCCCTAGATGTCTTCGTTTCTCCTTCATTGTGTGAAGGGATAGTTTTGCTGGGTATAGAATTTTGGTTGACAATCTTTTTTCATTCAGTATTTTGAAAACTGTCTTCTCAGTGGAGTATTCACCGAAGCTGAATTCTCAGATATGGGTTTAAACCAATAGCAAATCTTTATTAGCCTGCTGGCAACTACACCAGGATCCTGGTGTAGCACCAAGTCTTTTAAGCTTTTAAACACAAAAACCATACCCTGAGTTGACACACTTCAGTTTACAAGAACAGTTATGCAGAAGCAGAACTACAGAAGCCAAAAAGCAAGGTTAGTACATTTAGAGATTTTCCCAGAACTACAGATTTGATGGATTAGGTCTTTGTTTTTATCTGGCAGGTGGTACTAAGTGCTGTGTCTTACAGCCTGAATGGCACTTCCAAAATGGTTTCAGTTGTGTGAAGGTCTAGGGGCCTGGTACTTGCCTTTTGGCTTCTACAGTCATTTTGTTTTGTTTGTGATTTTGCAAGAAATGTTTTTATTAATTCTTTGAAGATGCTATACAGTGGATTTTGACCATATTCCGAATGAACTCCTCCCCTTAACTTCTCCCAGAGCCTCCCAACCCACCAACAATTCATGTCCTCTTCTTTTTTTTTTTTAGCAACCCATCAGCTCAACTTATTCTGTCCATCATTTCTGTTTATGAGTTCATAAGTGTGACAGTTCTGTGATGTCCCAGTCTTCCCCAAAGACCCTTACAATCCCCTGCTGCTCACCATCGTTCTGGCCCCTCTGCTGTAACAGTCTCTGAGCCTTGGAAGGAGGGAGTATGATAGAGATGTCCCTTTTGTGGCTAAACACGCTACAGTCACTTATCCTCAAGTTATAAGTTTCTTAGTTTATTTATTAATGTCTATGCGAGTGTGTGGCTAGATTGTGGGATGGGGGACACTGCAGTCAAAAGACAGCTATGTAATCTCCCACCTTTACATGGGATTTAGGGGATTTAACTCAGCTTGCCAGCTTCAGAAAGCCCTAGAATTTCGTGGCATCATGTCTATATGTGAGAAAGATAGATCTGTAGCTGTCACCCTCCTATACAGGTCACAGTACAGCATAAAGGTCTCCACATAACAGCTCTGCTCAAGTCCCTGAGTCTCCTTGGCCTTGGAAAGCCCAAACTCATGTGTCCTAAAGCCCCTTTTCTCCTCTCCCCAGGAATGACGTGCCAAGCCCGAAGCTCCTACATCACCAGTGAGATCTTGTGGGGCTACCGCTTCACGCCTGTCCTAACGCTGGAAGATGGGTTCTATGAAGTCGACTACAACAGCTTCCATGAGACCTATGAGACCAGCACCCCCTCCCTCAGTGCCAAAGAGCTAGCCGAGCTGGCTAACAGGGCAGAGCTGCCCCTGAGTTGGTCTGTGTCCAGCAAACTGAACCAACATGCGGAACTGGAGACAGAAGAGGAAGAGAAGAACCCGGAAGAACAAACAGAGAGGAATGGTGACGTGGCAAACCTAGAGAATGAATCCAAAGTGTAACCCTGCTGGGTCTGCCTCTCCCTCCCACTCAGACATGACACTTCCTTGTCTCTCTCATTTCCCTCCTTTTCTGTCTTTCTTGCTTTGATCTTGGTTTGTTTATATTTAATTTTGGCATTTCCAGAAAACAAATCTTCAAGGTGTAAAATGCCTACCTGCCCTCTCTCAGATGTTCAGGTGGACAGGCAGACAGGGACTTGGCTGCAGTACAAGGTACCTTCGTTTGTGGCCCAAGCCTGGCCTCCACCCGCAGGAGAGACTTAGCCACTTAACCCCTTCACTGTCCAATGCAAGTCATTCAAAAGAGCTGTCAAGGGTTTTACCCAGTGTCACAAAGGCCACCTATTCACCATGGCCATAGGACACACAGAATAGTCCCTTCAGTCCATCTCACCTAGCACAGGGCATGTGATTGCCCACCCAGACGCTGAGGGTACAGGACCCAGCTGAGCCAAGGTTAGACCACTGTACATAGATCTGCCCTATGGAATTGTTTTCTTTTGGCACTTAGTAACAAAACATGGCATGCACAAAAGCACTGTGGAGCAGAACTCCTTACAATGTACATAGATGTATCATCCGTGTAGCTTTAGATATGTGACTTTAGAGATAAAAAGAAAAAGGATTCCCACTGTACAGTAGGTGTTTCTGTTTTGTTATCTCTGTCTTCTGATTATTTTATCCCCCTTGCCTGCTGGCCCTCTACATGCATGGCCTTTGTTCCAGGTCCCAGGCTGTCACTCGCTAGGGTATCATTCTGTTCCCTTGTGATCCTTCTGTTGAATCTAATAAGCCATAGGTCTGGGGACAGCCCAGGGGTCTAAGAGATGGCAAGACCGGCCATCTAAAATGCTGATATACTGTGACACATCTACAAAAAGGATTTCATTTGCTTATGGAGAGCAAGGGTCTTTCTGACTAGCCTTGGAGGGACTTCCAGGAACCAGAGTCTAGTGCAGCCCCACATGACACTTCCCAGGAACTCTAGCCCTTTGGGGCACAGCAGTTTAAGAAACATTCCTGTGAAACCACTGATTGTCTTTCTATGTAGTCATGAGAAACTGCAGGGTTTTCATGAGAAACTGTGGCGAATCAGCAGAAGAGGACTTAGGTGTGCAGCCACGGCTTTTAGGAAGGCACGCAGTGGGTGAAATGACAGTCAGGAAGGCACGCAGTGGGTGAAATGACAGTCAGGAAGGCACGCAGTGGGCAGGAAGGCACGCAGTGGGGACAGTCAGGAAGGCACGCAGTGGGTGAAATGACAGTATTTCATCACCAACTCCCTGCCCTCAGACTTCACCTGGCATGCCTGTACCTGGGGCCTGTCCTTACCATTTCTTGCACTGTGTTTTTTTTTAATCTTTCTACCATCATTATTGTTATTACTACTAAGAAATTACCAGAATTTGGCGTACCAAGAGTAGATAACAGACTGTGGCAAATCTCTCTAGACTATGGGAAGTAGTCCACTATTTGAAATTCAAGTATCTCTCAAATGAAAGACCACAAACATCAGCAACAACCAAACCATTTTATCTCATTTTAATCTTCAAAGAAGGAAGGAACAAACGAGCAAAGGAAGGCAGGCAACGGGGGTAATAACCTAAATTTTCAAAATGAAATGAAAAGTAAGACTGGAAAGAGAATCTTGAACAAGACCTCAGGGGCAGGTGGAGATTTTGCACTGTAACCAATCTTTCTCGTTGGTTTTACATTTATACACTGTTCTTTCTTTAACACCATTGCCATCATAAACATGCATCGGAGGGAATCTAGATTTATTTCAGCTCCTACAGATGTGCTCAGTTTGAGACTTTGCACCATTGAGGTCAAAGAGGTCAAACTAGCTGTCCCTCATCTCCTTTGCTACCCCTGACCAGACTGCACCAGGCTTTGCCGAAGCCTGGGTTCCTTGTCTATAAGAGAGATGCCCAGGGAATTATGGGAAGCGGTTCCTCCATCCAACATCTGGGTTGCTCCTCTCCCTCTGCAGAGATCTTGCCACCCAAACAACCATCTTTTGGCAGCGACTCTGGAAAACAAAGCTATTGGCTGTAGCCCTTCCCTGCCTGCCAGTATTTCCTTGGCATTGTCTTTTATCAATCGCATTCACTCTGCAAACTTGAAGCAGGAGATGGTGGAAGAGGGAGCCTGATGCAATTCCCAAGAGGCTGTGGGATGTCCCATGACCTGACCTTGTTTTAGCCTTATGAAAGAGGCCCTGCTTTGGGGCACCAATCTGCAGCAGCCCAGCACAGGGCCTGTGTAGCACAAAGAAGGTGGAGAAAGCCTGCCAAATGTCTGCTGACTTAGCTCTTGAAGACTCACTGGGCCTTTTAAAATCTGTTACTGAAGTTTGAAAGACAAAAGGTCCCCTGTGGATGGGTTGAAAGGGCAGCTTTGAAGTTGATGGCTTCTGACCTGCTCTTCAGCACACCTGGACGATAGGCCTGTACAACACTTGTGTTACTCGCACAGCCACGCTGTGACCTCAGCAGAGCACTCTGATGGGAGGGAGGGAGGGTCTCTCTCTGCTGCTCATGGTCTCGATGTCACTGTGGTTGGTGACGCAAGTGAAACAAATTCCTGTGTGTAACAGGAGCTCAGAGTCTTTAACGGCAGGCACTTCTGAAGGACCTTTCATTAGAATGTCCTTATCAAACGTGTCTATTTTTTTACAGTCACTGAGAAAATGGTTTAACAGCGTATTTTGTGTCTACTGTTAAAATTTGAAAGGTCATTATGACTGAATTTTGTAAGCAGCAAGTAGTCAATGGGGTTTTTCATTAAGATAATTCAACAAAAGGGACCCCCAATGCCTACCCTTTCTAGTCCCCAACCACCCCTAGTCCCTCTCTCTACCAGTAGATCAAGTGCTACGAAAATACATAAGCCTATTATTGCACCAATCGATCCATAACCAAGAGAACTCTCTCTCTCTCTCCCTTCCTCCTTCCCTCCCTCCCTACACCCTTGTCCCTCTTGGTATTTTGGGCTGCTTGGTTGTGTCTCACGTCATTTTTCCCATAAAGCACAGTGAGATCCACAGGCCAGATAAAGCCCTGGAACTCAAGGGTGACAGTTGCCACAGTTGACCCCAATCAGATAGCAAATGAGCTCCCTGGGGTTTGTCTGGGAGGGAGGGGCTAAAGAGATCCTTGCAGTCCTCTCTCTAGTGACGCCCCATCCCCCTGCATCCCCTGCCATTAAGTTTCCAATAGGAAGAGTGCCTACTCACTTACAGATTGATTTATGTAATCAATACAGCTGTTTGTTTCCGGCAGCCCCTGGGCACATGGCCTGCCTGTGCTAACCCATTAGAATCAGCTCACCCTTTTCAGGTCCTTCTGAACATCATGTTAGGGTGTGGTTGTGACTCTATCTCCATGAGGTAGAACCCTCTCTTCCTTTACTCCCTTCCTCTCTGTCCCTCTCTTTTGTCCTCCTCTCTCTATTCCAGACCTATTGATTTAATTTAGTACCTAAGTTTCCTAACAGAAATCTAGCTACTGTATCGAAATGTTGACCTGTTTCTCTTAAGCACAATTTTTCTCTTACAGGTTTAACCAAAATAGGACTTGGACATGCCTGGGTTATATTATTATTATTATTATTATTATTATTATTATTATTATTATTATACTCTAATTTAAATTTAATTTAATGGCTTTATTGTAAAGCCTAGATGTTGACAATTTTTTTGCTTTCTTCCTCCACCTGTTTCTCTTTCCTCTTTGAATTTAAGATAGTATCTTTGCAGTGCTTGGAGACTGTTTGACCAAGGTGTGCAACAGGGAGAGTAAGAATGCTTTGGAAGATTCCGTGAGCACACTGAAAAAACACCAGATCCTTTAGCTGAGAGAAACCACAACAAGGCAGCTCAAAATGACATGTCCCCCAAAACGACCAGCATTCCTAAGATGACACATTTCTGTGACTCAATTCAATGGGTAGCTGCAAATTTGGGAAACACAAGCAGAATTGTCATAAGAGATTGGCTGATTTACAACACAGTTAAAAAAAAAAAAAAAAAATCATCTTGGGTCAGACTTTATGTCCAACCTGTATTTAAGAAAATGTCACCTTGTAATTCAGAATAGAGGGAAACATTCCTCTTCCCAATATGTCTACCCTCAATGTCTCAGAGGGGACCTTTGATTCAAAACATCATGTAGAACTCAACACTTGAACAATATGTACAGTTTTGACAGTGCATACCCAACAGCCAAACACTATTTTATCTGACATTGTGCAGTAAATTCAGAACACTCCCAGGAATTATCTCATGGAACTCTAACCCATCGGAGGTTGGGCACATCTTTATAATTGGGGATGTAGAGTTTGGGCAAATTAAGTAATTTCACCAAAGCTCCAGGCCAGGAAATGACAGATCCTGGTCTCAAATCCAGGTCACGAGGCTGTAAGCATGGGATGTTTTTGTTTGTTTGTTTTTCTGCAGATTTTTTATTTGAATTAGAAACAATATTGTTTTGCATGACAATCCCAGTTCCCTCCCCCTCCCCTCCTCACCTAACACCCCCCCTCAACTAGAACCCTACCTATCACATATCCTTTCTGCTCCCCCTGGTTGGTGAGACCTTCCATCGGGTGTAAAGTCCACACCTATGCTAGGGATAAGTACTGAACTAATACAGGAGGTCCCGTAGATTTCCGAGGTTTCCTCACTGAAACCCACGTTCCTGTGGTCTAGATCAGTCCCATGGGATGTTCTTATTATGAAAAAGAGTTCGACACACCAATATGCAGGGGTTCTCACCTGTTATACTCTTTCAAGTTAACACTTATTTTTACATTTAAAAATGGATGGGAGGAAAACAAGCCAAGAACATTTGAGAGACATATAAAATTCACATCTCAGGGGCCAGGGATATAACTTAGTTAGTAAAGGTTTTTTCCCTAGTTTGCACAAAGCCCCAGGTTTGGTCCCTAGTACTGCATAAACAAAGCATGTTAGCACATGCCTATTATAGCATTTTGGA